ACTTAGCCAGATATGTTTAACATAGACCAACAAATCACATTTGTTCTCATGTGATATTTCTTGCTTTGACTTCTTACATAATGTTACATAGAGGTTTAGGATTGAGTCCTGATTGACATATTTGTTGAAATATGTGGGGGAGTACAGTCATATTGGCAGAACGCCCCCCCCCCCTTCTTCTCTTGTGTGCACATAGTAATATTGTCAGTAAAAGAAATTCTAAAACTTTGATTTCCTCTGTAAGATGTACAATTCCATACATACAGTGGAACTGCTCACCAAGATTATCAGATATATCTGAGGACATCCTGTCTGTAAGTGATTACATTGGTGGATCAGTTGATATAGTACAATGTGCATCAGTGGGTCCATAAAAATAATAATAATAGCAGAAACACCAACAACAACCACAGTAATTTTCAAATAGTTGTGTTTTCGTTGTAGATTTGCTTGCTAATATAACGTAACAATTCTATACACATAACTGAATATAGATATGCAGAAACGGTGAATCTATTTTTATTTATTTATTTATCAGTTTTACTTTAATTACCAACTCTGAATTATTTATAACGGTGGCACCCTTGTCTATTTGTCTGTGTTTACATGTGCAGCATTATTGCTATATAGTTTATTAATTACTGTTTTGCTGCACTAGATGATAACTTCATTGTATTTTGTTTCGAATAAGTAAATGAAAGTAATCATGTTTAAAAAAGTACTTTAATTTTTAATATTCTGCACCGTCATGGTCAGCATTCAGATTCCTGCCTGTTGCCTCACTGTTCAAAAATCTACTTTAGTTATGAGGGTTGATGAAAGACTTGAGAATTTAAGCAGATCCAGCCATGAGTGAGGTATTTTCTCTCTTTTATGACCTGATATACTTATCTTCATGTCATTAATTCCTGCTGTAATTGGGACCAGGAATGGATAGAATTTTCCTTTTCTCCTCTTGAGATATGTTCTCACTGCTATCCATTGAAACAATGTTAGTGCATTTAAGTGTTCATTCGTTGTGAAAGTTATTTGAATCTGAATGAAAAGATCTTATTTATTCAGTATACAATCAAATAATATATCAGAATGAAGGGAATTTGCAAACAAAATCATACATAAGCTAGATTTGGTTGAAAAGGAAACAGTATTTACTGAAAAAAAGTAAGGACAAGTAATGGTATGTGGACATTAGTTATAAGGATAAAGTTTGTAGTCTTGGAAATTGTTTCGATCAGCATATTTGGTGAATGTAATTTATAACATGGAAGAACCTTACTGTGCAAAACAATATGAAGTGAATGTGGTCTGTAGTTACTTTAAGCAGCCTTTCCAGAAATATGTAAGCATTCAGTTTCTTGATTGAGTATAGTAGATGTTATAGGGGATATCTTTGCAGACATGCAATGGACTGAAAATTCAGTGAGAGTAAATAAATAGATAAATTATTAGTAATAGTATTATATCCAACACTATCTAAATACAATTTATTTTATTTTTTATTGTATAAATTAGCCTTATGGATTTCCAATGTTCATCTTTAAGGGCACCTTTTTTTCTGAAGATATTCACTTAAAATTATTGACATTCTCTTTGTTATTGATTCAGATCTATTGCTCTCTAATACTATATCCATTTATTTATGTGCTTTAGGATGTGTTCATGGTTAGTACTTTTTTCATCGTCTTTTTAGTTTTTCACGGTTCTGAGGATAAATGATATAATGATATAAACTCTGTCCCAACTGCAAACAATATATTATGTGTCCTTGATCTTGCTCCTTTACACTACATGTTTCGGCCTCAGACGGCCATCATCAGGTGTATAACACTCACGTTGCTGTCACACTGCACCCAGCCCAAAATTTAACATTTAGAAACACTTTCCTTGTTATTATCAACATCTACTTCGTTGATATCTGTCTGGTTTGTAGATTATTTTACACATGTTAATTTTGACTTTCCTGTAGTAGCACTATAAAATCTTTAGTTCTAATTTTAAAACCCTTTAAAATGTGTCTCTAAATTTTAAAATTTAAAATTTAAATGGATTTTAAAATTAGAACTAAAGATTTTATAGTGCTACTACAGGAAAGTCAAAATTAACGTGTGTAAAATAATCTACAAACCAGACAGATATCAATGAAGTAGATGTTGATAATAACAAGGAAAGTGTTTTTAAATGTTAAATTTTGGGCTGGGTGCAGTGTGACAGCAACGTGAGTGTTATACACCTGATGATGGCCGTCTGAGGCCGAAACATGTAGTGTAAAGGAGCAAGATCAAGGACACATAATATATTGTTTGCACTTGGGACGGAGTTTATATCATTTATCGTATAGAGTGCAACAGGATGCTTAAATATAATATTGTTCTGAGGATATATGAATGGTGTACTATATTCATGTTGACTTATTTTACCCTCCCAGCTACCCATGCACAAGGTGATGAGACCAGTAGGAGCCAACACAAATATGGTACACCATGTGGGCATCCTGACAACCACTGTGGCAGAATAAGAACATAATGAAACAGTACCACACATGCTAATAACACATATGAAAAAATGGTTTGGAAGAGAACAAATTTGAATTAATAATTGAAAGTTGTTAAAACATTAAGAAAAGATGATGGTACCAGATTTTTAATTAGTAACTTATTTCTCTCAATTGTACCTAAGACAAAATGTGCATGAAATAATGTTAGTGTAACATGTAAGTTAGATTGTACAAAAATATTCCTCCAAAGGTGAGTGAATTTGCAATTGAAACATGCAAAAGGAACATCAGAATTATAGAATATAAGTTGGATTTTGAGAGTGGTGGATATATTCATACCTGCAGAGTGTTCTGGGACAAAAGTGAATACAGCATCATTATGGCAGGTAGGCTGGATTCAGCTTGCTCATATCTTGACATATACACTGCTCATGTACACGTGATGACAGTTTTCAGTGGCTGTTAGGCTTGTCATAGGTGTCAGAAAATATCAGTGTTCTGAAGTTTCTGAAGTGAGAAAGTGGACCATCTTGAGCAGTGCACTTACATAAAATGTTGCCAGTGAGTGGGAACATGAGCAGATGCTGTAGATGGTATATGGTAAATAAATGATCTCCTGGTCCAGGGTATTTAAGTGGCATCATGGCTTTAAGGACAGTTGGAACTTGAAAATGATCAGCACATTGGACAGCCTGTTGTGCATTCTGGCCATCACTCGTTGGTAGAGACAGTCCACAAAATAGGTATGGCAGGAACAGTGCCATAACAAATGAAGGTACGTGCTGTGCACAGTAATGCAGCAAGTAATGATTCATTATTTATTCAGAAGATCAATTACATGAATCCTAAACTAAATAACATTTCTCCATATGGAAGTTGCCATCATGGAGTTCCATAAAGTTCTGGCATCATTGCTCGAAAGAGTTCATGTGAGAAGTTCTTTTGACAGGCATTGCATCATGCACCAGAAATTTACACAAATTCCTGATAATGTTGTGATCAATATGGAGAAGACAAGGAGGTGTCTGGCCTTCAATGGAAGTGATTTGTATGGATAATGCTAAGATGTTGGTGAGCAAAGATTAAATGTTCCTATGTCACACTGCTCTCACACATCAGTGACTGCTTCTGTGGTTGCAGCTTACCAAGGATGGCACTGTGCTGCTTCTCTGACTAGCATATTCTGCTGATCTTCTACTGTGTGACTTTAACCATTTTCCATGGATGAAGGATCAGATGAATTGTTTTTAACTTCAATAATGCAGTAGGCATCTATGTGCCTGTACAGGAGGTCTTGCATCATGGCATACAGGAAGTGTCATTCAGGATATACCTTCTGTCCAGAACTTTTTAAGCTGCCATCAATAATAATTCCATCAGATACAACGTTATACATATATACAGTTCAGATGAATCACAAAGGAGAGTTCGTAAATAGGTCACAAATGGAAGTAAAACAAATGAAATGAACGTAATAGGCTTTCAGTTTGTATCACTAGATAGCAGCATAGTCCAGCTTCATGACAGTCTAGGTAGAAAAAGTAATTGCACTGATTATTTACGATATACACATGATTTAAGTCAAGGTCTATATTAACAATCGCAGGGCTACTGCTATTATAGAATATGTTTATTAGAATGTTCTACAGAAGGCCAGATGGGCATTGCCTATGCCTTCTTTTGTATTTTTTTCCTTACAATTAAAAAAAAACACATCTACGTAGCAGACAGGCATGCACATGTTCAGAGGCTGGTTTCAGTGGTCAAAATGGCGACCATACTTGTGGGGCATACTACCGAAGAGCAGCGTTCTGTGGTGCATTTTTTGTGAGCAAAAGGACTCAGTGCAAAGGATATTCATAAAGAAATGTTTCCTGTTTATGGTGGGAAGTGTCTGTCATGTAAAGCAGTTCACAGCTGGATTGAGATATTCTCTCGAGGATGTTTGGCAGTCACAGGTAATGCCCGACCAGGTGGGAAAATGGCTGAGACAACAGTCAGAAGACTTCTGTGCTGTTAGTTTCAGCGCACTGATAAAGCGGTGGGACAAGTGTATCAATGTTAGTGGAGGGTATGTCAAGAAATAAATGTTTTTACCACATTCAAGTACCACATGTTTTACGTTTTATATTCATTTGTAACCTATTTACTGACTCTCCTGTATTTTTACTGGCCATATAGTAATTATGGAAGAATGATATTGTATAGATATAATATTAAAATAATAAGACTAAAATACTTAATTTGATGATGATTGCTGTAAAAGAGTTCTCTGATTTAAGTTTTAGAAATTGATTCTGGTGTAGTTTATGCAGGAACTTGATAGTTCTTTACATTGAGTAAGTGACAAAATGGGTCTTATATAATGTTCAAATGTAAGAACTGATGCCACATGCTCTTGTAGATTTTAATGGTTATTTATGTGTCTTAGAGGAGGAATATCAGTTGGCCCACTACTGTGTACAGTGTTACAGCAGGGATACTCATTTCATATGTGTGATCACAGAAGCCCTGGGAAGGAAACGAGCGAGTATGAGAACCTAGAGAGTGATGCCATTGATGATGATGATGATGGTGATGAGAAGAAGGAGAACGCTGAAATTGAAAGCTTTGAACGCGAGGAGAAGAGGATAGTTGAGGAAGTGGAAAGACAGGTGAGAATTTTAAAAGGGAGTAACAGCCCTACTGTAACCACTCAAATACCGCATTCCTTGTTCTTAGAAGCCAGTGTTCACATCTTTTAATCATTGAATGATAAGAGTGATGACAGTTACTGAGTACAAAATTGTCAGAACTCTTTTTGTTACATGGCATGCATGCCATGCTTTGCCTTTTCCTAAAATGTGAAAATATAAAGAATTCTGTTACAAAAGTGAAGGGAGAACGACATTTTTATTCTGATGTTAGTTACCCCCTTTCCCTTTGTTCTGTTTTGTTAAACCAGCTCCCTTTATGATTTCTGAGTACAGCTTGACCCAACTGTATAGAAACACTTAGTTGAGGCATGAACTTATGGCACCTACTTTCCTTTAAATGCCACAGTCTGTGTGCTGAGCCTTTCAGGAACAGATAATAGTGATACAATTTTAATCATCCATTTCTGTGCATTCCCACTGGTACCAATTCTGTTTCCATTAAATTTGCCTGATATAACTTCAAAGTTTTAATCTTCTGCCATGTTTATAATTTTTCATAATATTACATACAATATGGGATATATAATATAAGGGTAGATTGGTTTACATATGTTATGGAATAATCCAACACTTGCTGTGTTGCTGTGGGAATCTTGTCATAATGGTTGACTGAGATCAGTCTTTGTTTAAATTAGATTTCCTCTATGTTTCAGCAGAACTTGTACTTATGATCTGCCCATGAACAAAATTTTACATGCCTGTCTCCAGTGTTTGTGCCCCTTCAGAAGAAGAGCTAATGTAGATTTCATGTAGTAGCCACATTGCAGTACATATAACCGAAATGTAAACAAAATTTGCATATGTTTTGGAGATATATTTCAGACCAAATTACAGAAATGTGCAGTAAATGGTGCATCACTCCAACCAAATAAATTTACTTGCTGGCCATATTGTTATCACTGATGACAGGGAATTGAAGTTAAAAGATAAGGTGGCCTGTTGTGGCATTATGGTCATACCAAGATTCACAAATATGTGTTGGCTTTAGCAGACACAAGAACATGATGAGATGACAACATAAACTTGTGTTGACCAAGAAAGACACAGCATATTGTCAGAAGTTTCCACATTTTTTTTTCTTTTTTTCAAATTCTGTGCAGTTTGGATCATGTTGTGTTAATTGTTTTGAATCAGGTACCAGCTGACATTACTAACAGTATTCAAATGGTAATTATTAAGAATATGTTAACATCGATATCTTTAAAAAAACAGTTAATTTTCATTGCCAAGTTTATAAAGACTCTTGTGCATATGATCAGCTTAACATGGTGTCAATGTATGACTGACCTCATATAGGTTTGCAACATCCATGCATGTACATTTTGGATGTTTAAGTTGAGAAATAAATGAATGACCTTGTTTCATGTGTTTCATCATGTGGATTGACTGAAGAGTAGCCTGGTGGAGTTTCCAGTATATACATATTAGCTGACACTTCTAAAGTCATGAGTACTGGTTTAACAAATAATTTTATTCTTATATGTACTTTCTTCTTCCTCGCAATCACAAGTCTGGAGATGAAGAGCTGGTAAGTGTATGTGTGTTTATTTTAGTACTTAAGAGAAATGTGCTTTCTTACATTGTTTTCATAAACAATTTTCTTTTCAGATATAAAACTCTACTGATCATGATTAGTGAAGAATGTTGTAGTTTTTGTGGATGAGATATTTATCATTATCCTTAAGAATGAAAGATGCTGTACATCTGTAATGTATAAGGATCAACAGGGAGTTTTATATTTTCCCATACCAATTTTATTTCCTAACAAGTCAAAATTGTACCTGCTGGTTGGAGAGAGGTTGGAAATAAACGGATGGGAAAGTGTTGAAATTACATAGAAGTTGTATATTGCATGTGCATTGAATATAAATGTGATACAGAGTCCTGAGTAAAACCACTCACAGCAATAATGAAATCCAGAGCATTTCTGAATTCAAGACGTTTCTTCTCCCGTTGTGTTTTGCACGTTAGGAGGCAGAGGTAAAGCGAATTCTTGAGGAAACAGCAAGACAACAGCAACAGCAGGAGGAGGAGCAGCAGCAGCAGCAAGAAAATGTTTTTGGTGGGGAGACAAGCCAATCAGAATGGAGTGAAGAAGACGATGACGATGATGAAGGTGCTGCGTCTGAACCGCTTCTTGCTGATCGTGAATCAACCGGTTACACGACTGATGATCCTGCACTAGAGAATATATCCATGTTGAATGAGACAGGGCTCACTGATGCCGAGGGTACGTCCAACATCCTGTTTATATCAGTGTAATAGTACTTCCTCTCACCAGTTTGTTGAAGATACTTTTTTGAATCTTGGCCAGGTCATGCATTATCATGATTCTTTGCATCCTGTTGTATAATCAAGGTATGGAGATCCAATAATACATCGACTGGCTATAAAGTTGGTAAAATCAGTAAAATGACAATATTAACTTTCTTGTTACTCCCACCATGACATGTTTCGATCTGTCGATCATACTCTGGTAGCTTTATGAAAGTGTGCATGGTTATCAGAGCGCAAAAAAAAATGGATCAAGTTTCAGAACTAAAAATGTGTCTCATAAATATTCACAAATAAGTTTAGAATATAAAATATCTTAAGAAGGTTATGTTCATCGTTGGTTATCAATAACCTGCATATGTACCACTATAATATGCTGATGTTTTAATTTTTGTTTTCTAGTTGTGAATACATACTTTGTAATATGTGGGTGTGTGATATGTTATAAGGCTTTAAAGGCTTCAGGTAGTAGGCAGTCTGCAGTAACTGTCTCGTTTCATAGGTGTCTGTTAGATTTGGCATGACAATGCTCAATGTATAGTCAGCAGCTGAGATGACTTTATCTTGATGTAGTATGTTAGGCTTTTACTGATTATGTTGTGGGTCATTTGGAGTATGTGACTAAACTCTTCAAGTTTTCAGTCACCTGCTCTAGCATTACTTTCCAGGAGGTAATACCCTTCATAATCTCATTTAGTTATAGTAACACCAGAAGATAACAGCAGTATACAGCAGTAATTCAATCAGTATTATCAGTTAGTTTTACAGCATCCCTCTTTTCTGAAAAATGGTACCTCTGGACTGTTGTTACTATTCTTATTCTGCCACACCATATTTCCAGAATTTTTAAGCTTGAGGAATATATATTCAGGGAAATAATGATTTGATACTGCCTCTCAAAGACTCTAATGTATACAAATGGATTAGTGGAATGGTTACCTATGGAAACCATAGCTAGAGGTGGGAATTTTCACATTTTCTCATTAAATTTTGAATGGGAATTTGTAAGTTTCCATAGATTTGAACTTATGATTATGATGATAACTGTGGTATGCTGGTTTAGGGAAACTGTAAAAATAGGTGGATACCTCTCCATAATCCACTGGATGGCAAGAAATGTTATGTATTAATATTATTGTATTGTTCTTCTGTAATGAAATATCTGTAGGAGAAGTTTGTTTTTTAATATTGTTGATAAGTTGGTGATCCAAATGTTTTACGTTCTTTAGGTGCCCTAAGTGATGTGAATTCAGTGTTCAACGATGCAGGACATGATGGAGACATGGATGACAACACCAGCATGTCTTCTCGTGCTTCATCACGAATATTTGATTCAGATGCAATGATGAGTTTAGATTCACTTAGTGCCCTGTATGACTCTGAGTATGATAATTGTTACAGAACTGATGATGATATCAATGCGTTACCAGACAGTGTGTCTGATCTTGATAGAATTGACTATTTTGCAGCTGTTGCTACTGACACAGATATTAACTTGGCTAATATCCGCTACATGTCTGAAAGTATTACCAGGAACTTTGGCCAACCAAGAAGTGAGACAGACCCAGACAGTGATGTTTAGACATGGTAACTACACAAAGCTTTCCATGAGAGGGAATGGCAACAGTTTAGCTCCTAGATCTATATATGCATGTCAAAGCTACAGAAAGGCTGTGACAAATGTATTGTTTTACATTACTCAGAATACTGAAAGGGACTATAGGTAGTGTGCAATAACATGTGTTAGATAAAATCTGTACCATCAGAAATGTTGCTGTTGGTAGTTACAGATGTTTGCATCCCTGCACTCTAAAAACACTTAAGCCCTAGGAAGTGTTACAACTCACTTCAAGATCAGGATATGGTGTTATACTAAAATGAAGCTCACTTGTCACTTATGTGTAAGGAGAATGTGTCGCTCGGAATTGAGATACAGCATAGTCTGTGTTGGTATGAAGCCAGCTCCTTAAGAAAGAATAATTCAGCTCACAGTGTGAAAAATTACACACAGATTTTTATTTCTCCACCGAGATACAAAATTAATCTTAAGAATGATTTATTGGACTTTAAAAATGTAGGGTATCCAGTTTGATTGCCTGTAACTCATGACTCCAGAGTTAAGTTATAAAATAAAATAACAGTCTGGTTCTCTGGAGAAGGGAATACCATAAGTGCAAGTGCTTCATAAGTTTCACAAACACTGATGCTGTGCTGCTAGCACAGTGTAATTTGGAAGGTCACTGACATTACAGAGAAGTAAATTTTGAAACTGTTCATATTCTCTGTTCAACCCATTTATAATGTTATTGGACTTACTTACTCACTCGTGGAGCTGAGCCCTTCTGGAGGAGCCGCAAATTCTACAGGTACTCAAGAATTTCCTAGCATTTTATGGAACCCGGAAGTTCATTACCATGTTCACAAGAGCCCTCCACTGGTCCGTATCCTGAGCCAGATCTATCCAATCCATACCATCCCAGCCTATCTCTCTAAGATCCATTCTAATATTGTCCGCCCACCTGCGCCTTGGTCTTCCCTGTGGTTTCTTTCCTTCTGGCTTTCCCACCAATATCCTATATGAATTCCTTGTCTTCCCCATTCGTGCTACATGACCTGCCTACCTCATCCTCCTTGACTTAATGTTATTGGACACAGAAGAAAAAATAAATCGTGAATTTTTAAAACCTTATGGTTCTGCATAGAAATGTACATGAATAAGTTTGGGTTATCAGTTTCACTAATTAAGTCTTGCTCCTTGAGTGCTCCATATAAAATGAACCTTCCTTGTAAAAAGAATTTAATTTAGTCACAAAGTCTTTCAACAAATGTGTGAAATTTTCAGGTTCTTTTACATTTGTATAATCATTATAGGAATCTTAGAAAATGTTAATGCATCTGAACAGATTTTCTTCAGTTGTTCCAGTGTACAATTTCATTTCTTATATATTTCCCTGTGTTTATATAAAAATTAAAGTACTTGTGAAAATTGAGCAGTATGTTTATATCATTGTGTGCTTCATGAGTTGGTTCTTAATAATTTCCTTTATTTGACTTTTCAGCCATATTTTGGTGGGTGTTGGATTTATAGAGGCTGCTAAATCTGATGTATTAAAAATTATATTGGAGGCACATTATAAATGGGTTGTACATGAATCTTGAGTAGATATGCAGTAGTCATGTTGCTCATGATACTGAAAGTAGTTTTCTCTCAGGATTATTTAAGCAACACTTAGCCCCTCAGATATTTTAACATAGTGTGTGTATTACAGGTCTCTTCCACTGTTATGGGAATTAAGGACAGTGATGAATCCCAGGCAATGTAGATGTTTTAAAGTTGACTTTATTTTAAGAAAGAGAGGACTGAGTATAGCCCTGCAAGTTGTTTCATATTAATAGGAATATTAAAGGAGAGAATGATATGAAACATATTTTGGAAAATGTGTTACGATATAAAATATGCGTGGTAAGAAACAATAAGATCATAATCTTTAAAGAATATGAAAGATTGCCTTAACAAACACTTCAGTATGCTTAAATTGTAGGAATCAGATCTAGCTATGCAGCTTAGTAAAATATGTATATATGTATGATGATGAGACAGCAGAGATCTCTTGTAAAAGTCACCTTGACCGATTGAACAAAATATAGTTGTTACACATGAATATCATATGAAAGGTATATGGAGACTGAATGTCTCATGAGGTGTTAATCCATTCTTTTCAAGGCTAAGACACAGGATGTTTCATGGTGATGTTAAAATATATATGCCTCAAACTGCGGAGATTACACAGTGTTATGATTTTCTTCAGATTAATGTATGGGCCTTTAAGAGCAACAGAATTGATGTCAACTTTTATTAACTTGCCTCATTGAATTTAATGGAGGCAATAAAATTGGTCAACTGGGTACATTATGGAAGATATATGTAAATATAATTAGTATTATAAGTGGGTTTCTTTAGTAAACAAAACCAAAGACTGTGCAGCAAATTTCTAAGCAATGTTAACTTAAGTATAACTTGATAAAGTGCACACCAAATAATAATAATAATTAATAAAAATAGGCATTAATAATTCTTTACTTCTAACCCCTTTGAGGTGATAGCTATAAGTAAAACCACAAAGGTTTTGAACTCATTTGCCAGTTATAATTAATACAATGTTTAGCTCGATGTGTTTTCTTAGACTACATTCCAGTGGCAATAATCTGGATGTATTTCTAAGAAAACAGACTGTATGACAGCAATATAGCGCAGTGATATTATGTTACTTCAGTAATAACAGTTTGTACAGATGCAAGATACTCAGAACAGAAAGCAAAAATGTAAAGCAGAGTCTAAAATGAAACTAGTATTATCCCCTTCTTTACTTGTTAGAACATGGATGATTTGTGTATCTATTTTCTTTCTCTCAAATAATGTATTTGTCACTTTTTACTTCATCGTAAAGATACTGGACATATTCATAATAGTGTATTTATAGTAGATGAAGTGAAGTGATTTTAAGTGTTCTGTATGTACATCCAAGTTATTTTTCTTCCAAAGAAACTGTATTTTCTAAAGGCAATTGGTGTCGAGTCAGGTTTTCAAATCGATTCCTAGCATCTCATACCATCTTCAGTCAAAAATTTAGCTGTACCCTCTGAGTTGGTGTTGAACGCCATTTTACAAATGTTTCTTGCCTCTGCTAATATCAGGCTCTTTTCTGTTGTTATTTTTCATAGCATCGTTTGCAAACAAAGATGCCTTTATATAAAACGTTTTTTAAAATTTGTGAGAATGTAATACTGTCTATTTCCAATGTTAAGAATACATGGAGTTATACATCTGTGCTCCTCATATGGTGTGATGCTTATGCTTTTAATAACTTGAACTTGCAACTTTGAAATTGTACATGATTGAAATAGTTTAATTTAGGAGAAAAATTCTACCAGTGTTGTTATGTTGTTCCCAGTAGTGAAAGATTAAAATTGATTGTTTTGTTAATATTTCTAGTTGCTTTTCTCAAGATGTATTGAAACTGAGCTCAGTGTTTTTGATCTCATATTGTTAGCAGTCTCCATTCATTACCAGAACTCGTTATGTTGATAGCAAATAAAATAAACTTTTGTATGTGGCCCTTGAAATTACATTGAACTGGTATAAAATACTGTGGAAACCCCTTATTTCACTTCATTGAAGCTACAGTTAAAGGTCCTTCATCCCAGTTTAAAAAGTGTGATAATTTTCAGATGACAGCTGAGAATTGTATTATCTTTCCATTTCAGATAGTGTTGTGTCATGGTTTAAAATATCTGGCTGCCTTATTTTTATGTCCATCTAACATCTTATCTACACAGCAATTTTTACAACTTTGTGAAGTTTGAGCCCCTATTAAGGGTTGTGTGCTTTTCATAACTAGATTATATGTAAAGAGAACAGAACCTTATCTTATTAATGAAAACACCTGGAGAGGCAATGAAGCAAATGAAGATGCTTTAAAATTTGACTGTATATGCAAGGTCATGTTGATTATTAAAATTATTATTATTGTTGTTGTTATGTACCGTAATTTGGAAATTTTATGTTTCTGGATAATTATATGAGCTCAATAATGACAGAGGATAGGTATTCCATATTGCCACTGTATGAACATGAGATCTTATGTAATTTTACATAATTCATTTTCAGCTGTCATGAACTTATCTTTTATTCCATATTTTCCAATAATCCTTCAACAAAACAGTATAAATTCTCTTAATGAATAAACAGAAAAACTGATTAATACTTCTTGACCAAGGTGTGGAAGTTTTCTATTCACACATTTTGCTGTCAGTCATATCACAAGATCCACTTTTCTGGAATTATGTTTGAGCATTTACTGACTGGGCAGTTGCCATGCAGAGAGCTGTTGATAAGGTTAACAGTGACTTCTGGACAAACTCAGAGATTATACCTGCTTTCAATGAAACCACTTTATTTATTGTAATATTGCAGTAGCTTCTGTAAGTCACATTCTCCAACATCCATACAGATTTCACAGTGGTATAATATGTTTTGTGAAACTCTGAATGTCATTTTCTGTGATTTGTAGAGTAACATTGGATTTCAGTCTGTAAGGTGGCTGAAGTGTGAAAATTATTCCTATAAATTTGTCAAATTTTACCAGAGACATAGACCATAAACATTCATATCTGGGAACAGATTACTATTGCCCTTACTGATTATTCATTCACTGAACCCATGTTCTTCAGCTTGCACAGAAGTTTCTGCAAAGTTAACTCCAAATTTTTAATTATTCTCTATTTCTGTTAATTGCCCTAAAATATTGTTTACATGAAAACCTATTATTCTTCTAGCAATTGCAGCACACCAACTTCTGGTCATCAAGTAGGATCTGGTAAATAGTTTGAGGACCTTCAGTGGGATTTGTTTATGATGAAAGTCTGAATGTGAAACATGTAGGAAACCTACAGAATACCCACAGCCTGCAGGAGCAAATGATGAATGATAATAGAACTGAATTGTTTACAGGTTACCATGGCTACACTCTTATGACAGACTGTGTTTACCTTTTAAGTAACTTCCTACACACCCACTGCTGTCTGGCTCAGAAAATGTCTGTTCATAATGCTGGAAGCTATTGCATGTACCACTGTATAAGTATGCTGTTTGGTTGACACTTCTTTAGACCATGTCATCTGATGTCTGTACATGTCCACTCACTAAATATCAGTTTCTTTGTTCAATAATAGAATACTCAAGATTTTCTGAAGTTATAAGAGAAAAGTGAAACTATCACGTGTTATATTGATCTTCATTTAAAAACAATCATAGCTTTAATGAATAGCATGTCATTTTGCTGTCAGATCACCACATATGTTCATGTAACAGATACTCCTGACAGAGTATTAAGAGCAACCTTCTTTGTCAGGTGTTCAGACCTCCAGTCATTGAACTGTGTAGTGTACCGTACCTTCCTAAGTACTGTTTTATTAAATGAACCTGAGATTAAAAATACTTGTGCAAAAATTGAACAGATGTTCACATTAAAATGCAACTCCATACTTAACACCTCAGTATACCCGGTGTAATATAGCTGAATGCGTATGTGATTAAGTCATGTATGTGAATTTGTGGACCTGACTTCCACCTTGCATCAATAACAGTGTTGGCAATCTGTCAG